GTGCAGTCAGAGCAGCACCATAGGATCAGATCCTGCGGAAACGCTGGTGTCTAAATTTTCGAACAAACACATGAACTTCATGAAATAATAGCCACATGTTTTTCTTTTCACGAAGAGGGTGCGGTTTGCCGGTATGTGGTCAGAGGGTCTTCAAAGGATTGCAAAAAAAGGTTACTTCAATTTCGCAGAAGAGTGAACGACAACACGCAGTTGTTGTTCACTAGTATACACCGCCTTTCAAGGTTTTGCACACCTTCAGCAGACTCGACGGATTAGTCCCTCCTTCATGTTTCTTGGCTTCTGCTTGACCTTCTTGTCGCCCATTGCGAACCAAGAGAGCACCATTTCGGAATAACTTCTATACTGATAGAAGGAGGAAGGTGGAGATTTTCGTTGATGATAAGCGGCATCTGTGCAGGGCGATTCAGTGGATTTGTGTGTTGAAGGCAGGCAAAGTTCGTATTTGCAGATTGTATCACGTGCACAAGTTGGGGCGAGGTCTTCCCATTTAGAGGCGGCAAGACGGGGGAAAAGGTAATCGGGACGATTACGGCATCCTCATATCGTTGTTAGTGCTCAGTCAGCTGAGGTGTGACTTGGAAAACACGTCCACGCATTGTCTAATCACAATTAATATTTGTTCCAATTTGTCATCTTCTCTTAATAATTTCACTTTATTGTTTCAATTACTCTCAGGCAGAGATTACTGGATTTGCGGAAGCCGTTGTCAATTTTACGGACAACTTCGTAAGCCCTCAAGAGCAGGCAGAGAAACCTGAATTTCCTTTTCGAACTGTATCCACGCAGAAGTCAGAGCATGTCTACATACAAGTGGAAGATTGCGAGTTTCTTATTGGCCTTGCGCTTTCTAAGTAGGTTGCTGGTTTTGATAAGTGTCGTTTTTCAAAGTCTAATGTTTCTATTGAAATTGTTTTGCTGCCTTTGATTAGTATCCTACTTTAGGATTCAGTACGCTGCAGTTGAATATTCTGTCTTTCTACCTGCAATCCAAAACGTTTTAACCTGTTTCGCCTTTGTCTTTGAGTTTGAGCCGTTCAGGTTAGTTTTGAATTTATCTCAAATTTTATCTTAGAAGTTTCTCTCTGGGAAGGGAAAGTTTTCAGTACATATTGGGTTGGGCTTGATACAAGCATGATTAGAAAAATGACTAAACTTGATGTAATTCCTTTGCGTCTTCGTTTCAGGAAGAGAAACGAGCAAAAGTTCAAGGAACGCCTTGAGTATTTTCTGGGTCGTTACCTTCCTCTGCTAAAACTACACAGGGTCAGTAGTTGATTCTCAATTTCGGTTTGCAAATCACTGTTATATTTGCCTCGTTCAAGATGCCATTGTTGGATTATTTGAATGGAGCAGCATTTCTGAAAATTAATGGGCCCACATACTTAAACGTGGTATCAATGTCATCCGAACTGATGGAAGAGTTTCCAGTGATACAGAAGATTCTCATCTTGTATCAGGTCTGTTCTTAATAATTTCGTAGTATTGGTGATGTTTCTGGAGATCTGAGGAAAACCTGCTGTCTGGGTTGTTTCTACTTTGCGAAGCTTAAAGCAATCAAAGTGGCAGGCTGTCCTGGATCTCTACATTTTTTCAATTTTTTTAAAGTTCGTTACACTTTCCAAAAAGTGCAAAAGTACGGTTCCGCCGTGGAGTCCATCCCACGACCTCTTGCCTGTGAGTCGGGGGCACTAACGCTGCGCTTTCCCACTTCATGACTTCTTTACGAAATCCATTCGCAGGTAACGAGAGTATTTGAACTCAGTTCTTGAGGCACCTATATACGTACATTTCATTCCAAAGGAAGATTCCACAAAAAGCGGAAGTCGAAGAAGCGGCAGTGCCCACCTAGGTCCTCCCAAGTGTGTGGCATGGTGCGCGTTTTTCAGCGAAGGGTACGCCTCCAGTCGTTTAGCAGGGCCGTATTCCGCGCCACTCGCGCCACTCCACTCCCATCGATTGGCTGATCCTCGCCGTCTGGCTTTGCTACCGAGAGTGTTAGCGTTTTTTAGGGCAACACCGACGAGATTTGCCAAATGGTGCAAATCAGTGCGCAAAAAAAGTGTGCAATTTCTCGACCATATGCCATTTTGCTTGGCTTTTTCTTCAATTCCTGTATCACTGACTACCTTTACTTTGATTCCTAGTGGGCTTCTTTCTCATCTTAAACTCCGCCTTTGAATGTTCTGACTGACCATTTGACCTGTCCTTGTGAGTGACGATTTAGAGAGATGAGTGCTCATAAACCGAAAGGTTTTAATTGCCGATGTCAGACTTTGCGATTGGAGCATTT